GAATGAAGGAGTCATTGAGAAGGATTCTCTTAGTTGTGGATTTTGAAAGGTGTAATACTTATTTTAATAATAACTTTGAATAAAAATTTAAGATTATTAAACAGAGTAATATTAAAAAATTTGAAAGGTTATGTAATATTGGTTCTCAGCAGAGTGATAAGGAAAGAAAGTTGAGCACGTGTGTTTTCAACTTCACAGATGTGCAACTACTAAAGGAAGTGGAAGGTATACTGACTTTAGAACCAGGTTTTGGGATTCCTTTAACTCCTAGACAAGTTCCAGTAGAAGTTTTGATTAAAGATCTAGAGAATGGGTTAAGATTTGTAGATATAGCTGGTAGTGATCTAAAAGCAGTTAAAGAAGAGCAAAGTAACATAAGATCTAAGGTAGTTTATTTAATTTCTAACTATTACAGAAAGAACCATAGAAAGCAAAGTACGGGAATTATAGCAGATTTTAAGGCAACAAAATATTTCTTGAAAAAACATCCAGATCTAATTATAACTAGATCAGATAAAGGGGGTAATACTGTAATAATGTACAAGGAAGAGTACCAAAAAGAAATGTATAAATTATTAGAAGACAAGGATACATATTTGCAACTTAATAAAGATCCAACTAGCAAATATGAAAGAATGGCTAATGATTTAGTTGCGAAATTAAAAACTAATTCGATTATCTCGGAAGATCTGGAGAAAGAATTTAAAAACTATAATTCAGTGTCACCGAAACTTTATGGATTGAGAAAAACTCACAAACCAGGGTGTGTCATGAGACCTGTAGTAAGTTCGATTAAATCTCCGTGTTATAAAATAGCTAGATTTCTACATCAAATATTATCAACATCTTTATCGTCAAGATTTGTATTCTCTATAAAAAATTCTTTTGAGTTTGTAAAGTTTACAAAGGAGGTTAGATTACCAAAAGATTATGTTTTAGTGTCACTGGATGTAGTGGTACTTTTCACGAACATTCCTAAACAATTAGTGAAAGACATAATAAATGAGGACTGGCATGAACTATCAGGATTAATAAAAATACCAAAAGACATTTTGTTAGAAATAATACAATTTTGTTTTGATTCGAGCTATCTACAATTCAACGGAGCTTGTTACCAACAACTCGACGGTTCCAGCATGGGCAATCCAGCTAGCCCAATATTAGCCAACATAGTAATGGATCATATACTTAAAAAGATAATAAAGCTTTTTCCTTTTCCAGTCCCTTTTTTGAAGGTTTATGTCGATGATACTATCTTATCGATTCCAAAAGATAAAGTGGACACAATTTTGGACATCTTTTACCATTTTGGACTTTTACCAGTTTGAAGGCCAGCTTTTGGAATAATTCTTTTTATTACCTCTTCTGTTAAATTGCCAAAAGCTGCCTTATCAATTTCTTCATCTAAATATGAATTTTAACGAATACTTATTGTCAACAGAATTCCTCCCAAAGAAAATATAGAAATGATTCTGAAATTCACAAACGTCTGACAACGTTTTGATCCAATTAAAAAAATTACTTATATTAAATCAAAATTTTTTTGAAACCTTTTTCGAAATTTTTTACCTTTTCCAAATATTTATTTGATTTTATAGTAATTTTGTACTTATGAGAAACTCATAAGAGCTGTCAGATGTTTGCTTATTAAAATTTTAAAAAATTAACAATATCTAAGTTGTTCCTGGCGACTCACATATGTTAATATTTTTTTTATTTTTTGGTAATTTATTTAATTTTTTTAATTTTATTTATTAATTTTTTTATTTTTTAATTTTATTAATTTTAACTATTAAAGAATAATAGTTAAAACACTAATGTTACAATTATTGTAATTTAGGTTAATCTCAATTGACAATGTTTTTATTTTTACACGGGAACTTTTTTTACTATACTCTCTAGACTTGCAATAGTATCGTACGGAAAATATAAGTCACTCACTTAAACCGAGTATTGCGATTATACTTAAACTCTTTTACATCATATTCGCAATACCAATTCATTAAAAAAGAGTATACCAATAGGACTTAAACTTTTTTTTCAGTGCAGGGATAAGGAGTAAGTGTTTTACTCGTTTTGAGCTATACTCCTCGAGCGAGCAGTTCTGAATGCACAGATACTATACTCAC